ATGGATGAGGCTATTGGACACTTCCTTGGAGGTACCTGGAGGCAGGGAAGGAGCCAGAAGTGAAGTCAGAATGTCTAGGCTGTAATTTAGGTCCCAACCCCCTGTCTTGTGTGCATTGGAAAGCTTGCCTGGCCTCCTATCTGTAAAGTCTTCCCACCTGTAGAATAGGCTGAGAGTACACAGAAGATTGTTGTGAGCATTTTGAGATGCCGTACAGCGGTACAGAGCGTGCTCCACATGGTAGTTCCCTTTCCTTCTCTTAGACTGGAGCCCTGTTTATGACCAGGGTTAGAGAGGAGAAACGGGGCTGGGCAGAAGGAGAGGTTAGTGCTGCCTGTGGTCCTACAGCCACCAAAGGATCAGGACTGGTCTTGTATCTTACCAGGTTGGAAAAAGCTGGCAGAGGAGCCCCAGGCGTCTAGAGCTCAGGCAAGCCGCAGCGTTCCCAAACTGGCCGACTGAGGGAACGGGGGGTGGTTCAGCCTCAGCTACCTGGGACCTTGCGCAAGGTAGTTCACCTTCTGGGGCTCAGTGTCCTTATCTGCAGAGGGTGGGGGGCAGTCGGTGATTTCATCCCTGCCCCACCATGGGGTTACTGTGAGGCCAGATGAGATGGTGGATGTGACAATTCAGCTTCTAAAAGAGTAATGTGGGCCGGGAGCAGTGGCTCAAGCCTGTAATCCCAGCACTTTGGGAGGCCGATGAGGGCGGATCACTTGAGGTCAGGAGTTCAAGACCAACCTGGCCAACATAGTGAAGCCCTGTCTCTACTAGAAATAGAAAAAAATTAGCCAGGCATGGTGGCGGGTGCCTGTAATCCCAACTACTCGGGAGGCTGAGGCAGGAAAATCGCTTGAACCCGGGAGGCGGAGGTTGCAGTGAGCCGAGACCCAGCCACTGTACTCCAGCCTGGGCAACAAAAGTGAGACTGTCTCAAAAAAAAAAAAAAAAAAAAAAAGGTAATGCGTGTCACACACATAGGGCTGGCTGTTTGACCAAGAGTAGTCCCTGCCTTAGGTTTCTCATGGACCAGCCTGCCTGAGGCCTTTCCCTAAGGTCCCGTATTTGCTTCATGGATACTTGGTCAAAGACCAGAAATGTGTTATGCTCGCAGTGCTGAGCTGTTGGGTGATGGGTGTATGGGGACTAGCGTGGTTTCTTTGGCTTCTCCTCTTCTGACCTGCCAGAGGGTTTGCAGTGAATGTCCTTTAGTCTAGGAGGGGCTACCCTAGGAGAACAGCCAGAAGGACAAAGGCTAGGAGCAGGACAACTACACAAGTGCTAGATTTAAATCCTGGGATTAAATGCATGGATTAAACAGAGCAGTGCATCCCCAGCACCGGGCAGCCTTGGGGTGGGTGTGGGGATTATGGCAGTGCACACTAGGCAGGGAGAAACCAGAGGAGAATATTCTGCCGTATTCTAAGAACAGTGAGAAAGAGACGGTGAGAAGATTTAGTGTTCATGTATTACTTTAAAGGTCACAAGTGCATTCACATCTGTTACTGCATTTGATCTAGAGGATATTCTAATGAAAGCAGGTCTGAGGCCACCTCAATGGTGGAAGGGAAAGAATGTAGCTGGGACTAGGTCAGAGCTACTGCCAGAGCATGGCGGTACACCATGTGGCCTCAGGGCAGTGAGCCAGGGAGGAGGGAGCAGGACAGCTGGGGGTGCTGGGAGGGCACTGATGCTCCCATAGTGTCTGAGGGCCTGGCCCCTGAGCTGCACATGAATTTTATTCTGCTGTGGCTTACCCACCAGCCCCCACGCCTGCCTTTTCTCTGTCCCATTTCCCCCTATCCCGCCCTGTTGCCATGGTTACACACACAGGCACTGCCCAGCAACCACCAGGAATATTTCACTTTGGCCCTGCCCCAAAGCCATAGTAACCACTCAGCCCACTTCCACTTCTGGCTGGGGAATCACAGCCCTCTCTTGCACAGGCCCCAGTTCGCACAAGTCCCTAGGACCCCCAAGGAGCCTTCCTGGCTGTCTGCCTATTGAGGGCCTATCACCAGCCTGAGGATTTGTGCTGCTGCTGCTGCCGCTACTGCTAGACTGATCCTCTCTTCTGTTCCTATTCTTCTGACCTAATTAACGCCCAGTTCTGAAAATTCACCCCTCCCTCTGCCAGACACAAATTCAGACACTGTTCTCTTAAAGGTCAAGGTCTAGGGTGGACAGGGGGAGGTTTCCACTCCAGGCCCAGAATCTTTCTCTCCTGAGTGTCACACCCTGCGAAGGCAGGTTGAGTCAAGTTCTGTGTGTGCGGCTGTGCCTGGGGCCAGGAGTCTAGCCGTGAGCAAGAACTGGTGAACCAGATGGGGGCGTATGGGCTGAGGTATGGGCTGGGTGGGGGGAGGACAGGAGAGGCCTGACCTCTCCTGGTGAGATGAGTCAGGGATGGTGCTGTAAGAAGGTGGTCCTGAATGGAGTTTTGAGGAGCTAGAAGGTGTCCAGGTTGACAGAGGGAACTGCAGCATGACTGAAGATGGGCTGTGGTGACTATAGGGACCAGCAAGGGGTTCCATGTCACTGGAGAGAAGCTGGCCAGTTAGGCAGCCCCAGAAAGGAGTTTAGACTTTATCCCGATGGCCATAGTGATGGCTCGCGGCCCACTATCCCCTGAACAAGACGGGTCTGCACGAACAGGCAGGCGGGTCCCCAGACCCTGGATATGTCCAGCCAAGCTGCTTCCCACCCCTGCAGACTGCCTGTCCCCACTCCCTCCCATTATAACCTCTCACTCCCACCAGAATTCCAGGTCAGCTTCCACTCGGGGATGTGCATTCTGTACTGCTGCTCCTTCCTGTTCTCCCCACAGACAGAGCCTCTGTGCCCCATCCTCTCACTCCTGAGCCACTCCTGCCTGGTGGAGGCCGCCCCTGTGGGTCCCCACCCGGGATGGCCAGAGCTGGGGAGCTACTGGAGGTGACAAAGTGGGGCGGTACATTGCCAGGGATAGAACAAGGGCTGTATTCCTAGTTGGCTCAGGGGACTAGCTCCTGCCAACCCTCTCCCTAGAATTTCTTCTCTCTTCCTGTTGGTGGCTGTGTGGGTGGACTTCACTGGGAAGGAGGGGGATTTCTTGGCACCTTCTTTCTCCACTCCTCTCCTTCAACCCTTTGGAGCTCCTGAGTGGCTCCTGTTCCGCAGGCTGACTCCAGAACTCAGCCTTGCCGGGATTTCCGGGCATCCCGGCACCCTCTCCTGGGCCATCTGAGTCCGTGGGGACATGGGCAGCACTCACCAACTGTGGCAACGGGGCAGCCATCAGAACCCCTGACCACCAGTCTCTCAGTGACCAAGCGGTCCCCAGAGTGTGTCACCTCCTTGGGTCTTGGAGGTGTCTTGGCTTCCAGAGGCCTCTAGGAGGACACACTCCAGCCCTGCACTGCGGGACACACCCAGAGCCTGTGGTCTGGAGGCCTCAGGGGCTTGGGCTTCTGCCTCTAGCCCCTCACCTGGAGGAGGGGAGAGCAGTCCTGCTCAAGGGAAGCTATGAGGCCCACTTGCTGCACAGGAGGGATGGGGTGGCTCTGATGAGGGAGATCTGGGTTTTTAGGGCTGGCAGCTCCTTTTTATTCTGTTCGGAAGGCTGAGTTCTTGGTCTTGAGGTCCTGTGTATGGAAGCAGAGGAGGGCAAGTCCCATTGCACAGAAGGAGACTCAGGCAGAGGGAGGGAGATGCAGGAGAGAGCCCCATTTGGCAGAGGGGAATGGGCAGGAGAAGGGAGAATGCTGGGGGCAGCCAGCAGCAGCATCTGCCCAGAGCACAGCTCTGCCCAGCTCCCGCACAGCCCTTGGAGTGGGGATGGGGATGTGACTGTTTCTGGCCCCAGAGTGTCCTCTGCCTAAATCCCTGCCCTGTGGCTGCTTGGAGGCGCCCATGACCCCTGCAGTGGGGGAGCCTCTCCCCTTCCACCCTGTCTCTTTTGCCCCCAGCCTGCGTGTTGTCCCCAGGGTATAGAGGTGGGCAGAGGGGTGGGACCACGTGCACAGACCAAAGAACAAAAGAGTCCCACATCCTTGATGGGGGGCTTCAGGCTTGGTGATGAGGAGCTCCCCTCTTGGAATTAGGCAGAATTTCCCACTCATACAGCACATTTCCCTCTCCTACCCCCACCCCCAGCAGCCATCTGGCAACTCTGTGAGCTACTGAAATCCTCAGCGCTGGATGCCAAGAGCGGAGTTCTTGAGTGTGGGGAAGCTCTCCCTGGGGAGGGATGGAGGAGAGTTTCCATGGTTGGAAGGAGCCTGGAGAGGGTCCAGGCTGGACACAGAGGGGAAGGGAAGGGGGGCTCTGGGAATGTCCTTGTCAAAGCTACTTGAAAGACTGAAGAGGAAGAGAAGAGGGCACTGGGGGCCACAGCCCAACCTCCCCACCAAGCGTCAAGCAGCAGAGCCACCTACCCGATCCAGGCACTTTCACATCTTAGCCGAAACTCTTACTGTAATTGTGAGAATTGCAAACACACCAGGGACTGTTCCATAAAATGACTGGCCTGTGCTCCTCAAAAATGCCAGTGTCATGAGAGAAAGGTGGAGGGCCTCTTCCAGATGCAAGGAGATTAAAGAGACATGGCACCCAAATACAAGATATGATCCTGGACTGGATCCTGGAATGAGAAAAAGTAACTGACTATAAAGGGCAATAATAATTCTATAGAGAGAGGAACATTGAGGAAGGGTTTTCGGTTATGAGACTATTCTTGCAACTTTTCTGTAGGCTTGAAATTTTGTAGAATAACAAATTTAATACCAGAAGCTTGACCCCTCAGAACTGCTCCCTCACCCAACCTGGGCTGAAGGTGGAGGATTTTCTCTCTTGGAGAGGGCCTTTGTGGAGATGAGAAAAGGCCGTTTCTGAGAGCGTGGCCATCTTTGTCAGTGGCAAAAAGGTGATAGTGTCTGGGCCAGCAAGGTGGGGGCCCCTCGAAGATGGACACCTACTTATCTGCTGTCCTCACTCTTAACCAAACAATGTCCCACCCACAGGCCACTCGAGACGTGGTGCTGAGCCGGGTGCCAGAGCAGGAGGAGGACCGGGCAGTGAGCTTGCAGAATGCTGCAGCCATCTATGACCTCCTGAGCATCACGTTGGGCAGAAGGGGACAGTATGTCATGCTCTCTGAGGTACGGCCGGCCATGCAGCCCATCCCACTCCCCAGAGTCAGGCAGTCTGTAAAGGAAATCAGACGGAGCCGTTTGTCCCTTCACCTGTCCCTCCCCTGCCAGGCTGCTCTGCCGCTTTGACCTTGGCAAGTTGTACAAGTCTCGGCTTCCTCACTGGTGAAATATGGGCAGTTAGAGAACCCACCTCACAAGGTTGTTGGGGAGAGTGCATGTGAAAGACTGAGAACAGCGCCATGCACAGTAATAATAAATGTTCCCTGCTATTTTTATTGCATGTCTATGTTTTGAAAGCACTTTCACAAATCTTACTCCATTTGCTCTTTGGTATCACCCTGTGAGATCATTCACATGTTAAGGAGGTGAACTGAGAGGGTGGGAGACTTGAGCAGGGTCACACAGCATGCCAGAGGCAGGAACTGGGTTTCTGCAGGGTGTCTCACAGGAGCCAAGTGCGGGCCTCCTGCAGCCTCCCAAAGGCAGTGACTTGGACAGTGACTACCCTGGAAGGGTGTGGGTGGCTGGGGTGTGAGGACCCCTGGTGAGTAAGTGCTGACTATCTCCCCTCCCCAGTGCCTGGAACGAGCCATGAAGTTTGCGTTTGGAGAATTTCACCTTTGGTACCAGGTGGCCCTCTCCATGGTGGCTTGTGGGAAGGTAAGGTCCAGGGGGTGCTAGGGGTTGTACACTCACCCTCAGGGAGCTCTGCTGAGGTGGACGGAGGGGTTTTCTGGCCAGGGGAGAGGGTGGGGACTATCCTGCAGCTGGTTTGAACCTCCAGGAGAGTGAGGGGTGTGGGGTGGGCTACACAGACACCTTGTGTGAATTCCTGTCCACGTGTGAGCTATGAGTGTGCCGGTGTGAGTCTCTGGATGCTTTTCTCTGAGCGTGCGTACGTGCACGGGAGCACTGTAACCTCTGTGCTGAAGAGCTGATAATGTGACTGCATGTGGCGGATATGAGGTGTATGGAGGGGAAGGAACGTTGTTCCATGTGGGCTGTAGCTCTCATCCTGTCCACTGAGCATGGCGTCAGGAAATGACCTGCCTGTGGACTAGAGACTTGCCTCAGAGGGGAAGCTTAAAGGGTGGAGCAGAGCAGCAGCACCCACAAGGGAGTTTGGAGGGAGTACTGCATGACGCATGGGGCCAGGAGCACCTGTATGGGAACAGGGCCTGGCGGGATGCTGCCCAGAGCAAGGAGCAGCGGGCATGAGTTCGCGCTCTATCAACCAAGCTCCGGTGCCGTCACCCCTGCTTTCTGCTCCGATCAGAATTATACTTACATAAGCCTCTATTTTAAGCAGTGACATGAAAGGAAAACCTTTCTGGAGTTGAGTTCTGAGGGTGTTGGGGCTGAGGATGCTATGAATGCAGGAAATAAGGTGGCATGAGCTTGCAGATTGTTCCAGGAGCTGTAAATATCCAGAGCCCTTTCATGGGGCTGAGGGAATTCCTCGCCCCCCTGGCCCATCTGTGCCATGTTCCATTTCTGGCCCCGCAGCCGTCTCTCAGGAGGGCCCTCCCAGCTTGCCAGTGCCTCCTCCACGCACAAAGGGTGTGCCAGCCAGCTCGGGGCCTCAGCAGCCGAGGCAGGCCAGGTCCTGGCAGGGAGGGGAAAGAGGAGCAGGTGCTGCAGCCTGACTGTGGGGAGAGGCTTTCTGGGGAGCCTTCCCTGTCCCCATCTGCTGGGCACGTGTCTTCCCAAACCTCTGTACTCTCCCCCATCACATCGGACACCTCGCAGAACATCTTGAAGTCACAGCATGATCTCCTTGGCTTTGTGCTTAACAGGGTCTTGTTGAGGCTTGGGGAGAATTCAGAACACTGGGCAAGGCCCTGGCCCTTCAAGGGTTAGGGAGTGAGAGAAACCCTCCTACAGAACTGCAGGCAAAGGAGACAACGTGGGCAGTGGTGGAGGGGGTGGAAAAGATGAACCGGCAGTGGGGATGGGGACAGGAAGGTATTGAAGGCAGCGGTCAGTCTGGGGTAGTAGGGACAGGGCTGGGAGGAGGTGGGGCTGGAGCTTCCATGGAGCCTGGGCAGACAGCTCACAGTGGCATGGGCCTGTTCTTCCTACCTCTGGGAAACACAGAAAACCCATCTAATCTTGGCACAGTGAGTACAGGTGGGAGAGGCCTAGGGCCAGAGCAGTGATTCGAACCCTTCTGTGGGTCATGGACCCCTTTCAGGAGGTAAGGGAAGCTGAGGACTTCTGCTCAGAAAAATTGACTGCACATGCAAGTTAGCTTTAAATCCGAGAGAGGCTCCTAGAAGCTCTCCAGTCAGTCAAAGGTGTCGTGATAGCCTGGGAGGTAAGGAGTCTTCTGCCTCTGACTAGCTGGACTCAGAGAGATCCAGACACAGCCTGGCACCATCCCAGCATCTAGGGAGCTGGTTTCATGACTTGGCTCCTTCCCAGACCAGCAAGGTGGTCCCGGGAGTGGGCTTGCATCAGGGAGTTGAGATTGGCCAGTTCCTCATGCATGAGGCTCCATGGGCTGGAGACACTGCGTTCGGTGTAGCAGGCGATTGTTCTGGAGAGCATTCTCCGCCCGCCTTGGGAACCCTGCCCACCAAATCAGTCTGCCTGATTGTCCCAGGCAGCCCTCAGGAGTGGCCAGACCTTGCCTTTGCTGAAAGCGTAAGGTGGAATCAAGGGCCTGTATCTGTGATTGTGCCCGAAAGGCCTTCCAGAAGGTGAGTCTGGGCAGTTGAACCTGCAGGAATAATGGATGAGTTCCGTGGCGTGATTTAGGTCGTTCCTTCTCTTGGTCTCTGTGCGGCAGTTGCATTGGCTGTGTTGCTAGGTAACCAGCATGACAAAAAAAAAGCTGCTGCTCCGGCTGCTGAGTCCTCAGATGGCTCCTTAAATAGCAGCGTTTTTTGGTGTACGTGGGGGTGGGGTGGAAGGGGGTGGAATGCAGAGGGTCAGGGTTAGAGAACCCTGTATGGCAAGGATCCAGAGTTTAGCAGCCATGAGAAGGAGGCTGAGAACCCTGAGGCTTGCTAGGGTGTGGATGGAGGGTCTGGGGAGGGACTTGGAGTGATGTTCCCAGGGCAGGGTCTCAGGAGGAGGTAGATAGCCTGACAGTGCCTTCAAGCCCCTCATACCCGCTGGCACCCGCCCACACTGGGCACGCTGTGGAGTCTCCCAGCCTGCAGGAGCCGGTCACCTGCTAACACCCTTTTGTGCTTGGCCTCCTACCCTCTTGTTTCCAGAGAGAGCCATGGGGGTGGTGGCCTTTGTTGTCTCTCCCACCCTTTCTGTGGGGTCCTTTGAGGAAAGAGCCATGGCCTCATCCCCTTTCCTGAGTGACCCCACAACCCCTAGCCCAGTACTGGATTCAGAGCATACCCTTGGCAAAGACACCTGCAATTGACCTAATAAGTCTGAGTCAAAGCCCGGGGAAATCTATCACGTCTAGGTTGAGAAAAGCTCTTCCTTAGATGGCGGGGAAAATGGGAGGCCAGCTGGAGGGAGGCGGGGTGTCCAGGGTGGACACAGACCATTCAGATCCTAGCTGTGCACCTGCCAGTTGCTCATAGCCTGCTGTGGACAGGGGAGCCTCCCAGAGCCTCCATTTCCTTCTGTACCTCCAGAGCTGGGGGGATATGAGAGCTAATTAATGGGGGATTGCTTGGCCCACAGTAGGGCCCAGTACCTGGGAATTGTCACAGTTACGCACAGGTGCCTGCAAACCTGGAGGTCACACAGGTACAGAGGTGTACACTCTCAGAGGATTACTGCTGAGTTTCCTGGAAAAGGTTCCAGCCCAGAGAGAGAGAGAGAGAGAGAGAGAGAGAGAGAGAGTGTGTGTGTGTGTGTGTGTGTGTGTGTGTGTGTGTGTGTTTGGGGTGGGGGGACAGTGGGCAGGGAAACAGGAAACAGGCCTCCTTTCTGGCCACGGTGGTCATCATAGAGGCAGTGTAGGGTAGTGGTTAGAGCCAGGCTACATTCAAACCTCAGCTCAGCCATTCATAGGCTGTGTGACTTTGAACAAGCTACCTAACTTTGCATTTCAGTTTTCCCACCTGTACCAAGTAAAGTCAAGAGTATCTACATCATAAGACTGCGTAAAAATTAAATCACTTGGTATTTAAAATGCACTTAGAACAGGGGTCTCCAACCTCTTTTCTGTAATGGGTCAGATAGTAGACGGTTTTGACTCTGCGGGCCCAACAGTCTTTTGCAACTATTCCACTCTGCTACCGTATCAGGAAAACAGCCATAGACAGTATGTAAATGAATGCACATGGCTGTGTTCCAGTAAAACTTTATTTACAAAAATAGAGTGCCAGATTTGGCCTGTTAACTGTGTTTTGTCAACCCCAGACTTAGGACAATGCCTGCATATCCCAAGATCTGGATAAGTGTTTGCTGCTGCTGTTCTTCTCATTACTGTTATTGGTAACATCCCTGTCTGGCCGTGGCTGCCCACCACCTCAGCCCTCCTTCACACTTGGCTGTCCTCAGCAGGTCCAGTCTGAGCCCTGAAGCCTGGGGGGATCCTCAGATTCCTGTCTGGAGGTTCTCTCGGGCTCTGCCAGTTTAGAATATCTCCGCTTCTCCGCCAGCCTTTATACGACCCCCAACCCCTGCCATTGGCCATGCCTCCGGAGTCCTTATTTTTTATTATTATTATTATTTTATTATTATTATTTTTTGAGACACAGTCTCACTGTGTCACCCAGGCTAGAGTGCAGTGGCACAATCTCGGCTCACTGCAACTTCCACCTCTTGGGTTCAAGCAATTCTCATGTCTCAGCCTCCCGAGTAGCTGGGTGTGGACACATGCCTCCACAGCCGACTGATTTTTGTATTTTTAGTAGAGATAGGGTTTCACCATGTTGGCCAGGCTGGTCTCAAATCCTGAGCTCAAGTGATCAGCCTGCCTCAGTCTCCCAAAGTGCTGGGATTGCAGGTGTGAGCCTCTGTGCCCAGCCCTCATTTAGAGAGCCCCTTTCTACCTCTAAAATTTCTGTGCTTGAAATTTGAATTCCTTTTGGAGAGCTTCCATTTGTTGTCATGTTAGCGGTCATCATGTTACCTAAGGAGCAAGGGTGACAGCTTCTAATCTTCAGATGAGGAAACTGAGGCCCAGGGAGGGATTTCTCTGCCCTGGCCCTCTTCCTGGCTCTGGAGAGCAAAGGGATACAGAGCAAGGCTTGGTTGTTTGGGGAGATTGCCCCACTGTGGGCCCTTGAGATCCAGGGCTGTGAGTGACAGTGTTTCCTGCTATTTTTTCTGCAGTCAGCCTACGCCGTGTCCCTGCTGCGGGAGTGTGTGAAGTTGAGGCCCTCGGACCCCACTGTGCCCCTGATGGCCGCGAAGGTCTGCATCGGGTCCCTTCACTGGGTGAGTGAGCTGTGAGGGCAGGGCCCAGAGGCCTCCTGTGGGGAGGGCGGCAGCAGCTGACTGTGAGTGGGGTGTGCACGTCTTGGCATGTATGTGAGGGTGCATGTGGAAGGTGGAGAGGATGGGAGCTATCAGGCAGATGGGCCTGGGCAGGGAGAAAGTCTCTGAGAAGCCACCAGCCTCCATCTCCAAGGCAGGGTCCCCTGACTCAGGATGGTGTCTGGTTTGCGGTTCAGCCTTGAACTGTGGCCTCCAGAGAGTGAAATATAGGGAAGTAGAGGTGCCCCCCACCTGCCCAG